GGGTGGGAAGTGTGTGCCTATGTGGGGGGTGGGAAGTGTGTGTCTATGGGCAGGCAGGAAGTGTGTGTCTATGGGCAGGTGGGAAGTGTGTGTCTATGGGTGGGTGGGAAGTGTGTGTCTATGGGCAGGTGGGAAGTGTGTGTCTATGGGTGTGTGGGAAGTGTGTGTCCATGTGGGTGGGAAGTGTGTGTCCATGTGGGTGGGAAGTGGGTATTAGAGGGTGGGGGATAAGGGTAGATGGTTATGAGAAAGTGTGGATATGGATGAGGGAGGGGCAAGAGTGGGTGTGAGGGAGGGGATGTGGGTGTATAGGTAGGTGTGAGAGTGGGCGAGTGTTCTGTAGCTCGATTGCTAGCGCACTGAGCTCACACACTGAGGTCCAGGGGTTGATCCCCAGTACAGGTGGAAACATCAGGACTTGTTTCCTTAAGACACTTGCTGTCTATGTTCACCTAGCAGTAAAACAGGTACCTGGGTGTTAGCTGACTGGTGTGGGTCACATCCTGGGACAAAACTGACCTAATTTGCCTAAAATTTTAGCTCTGCATAACAAGGGGCTTTCTATATAGCAGCATGTCATTGATGTCAGCTAGGTCTGTATGCCTTGTACATGTACTTGAAGAAATAAAGATTATTATTATTATGGGTAAGGGTGGGTGGGTGGGTGGGTGGTGGGTGGGTGTGTGTGTGTGTGTGTGTGTGTGTGTGTGTGTGTGTGTGTGTGTGTGTGTGTGTGTGTGTGTGTGTGTGTGTGTGTGTCCTACACCTGTCAGCACACCTGCCAATACTATTCTAGAATCTGGTAGTAGTGCTTCGACAGCAAGTTCTGAGCCAGGAGTTTCTCCACCAGAGAACGGTGCAGTTAGTGATCAGGGAACTATCACTGCACCTGATCACCTACTGCACCGAAGTACAAACAGCAGGGATACATCTGTCAGAACTGGTAGAGGGCGGGGTAGAGGACATGGAGGAGGACGTGGAGGAGGAAGACATCTACAGCCGTCTCACCCTCCACTAACACAGTTCCAGCGGCAGAATCTGAGGACAAATCTGCGAAACACAGGAGGTGCAACAAATCCTAGTCCACCCTCCCAGGCACCTAGGCTGTGCTCTCGCTGTCACCGGAAGGGGCACTCTGCCAACAACTGCCTGCGAGATACCAGGTGTAATTACTGCTACAAGAAAGGACATAAGGAGGACCAGTGTCGGAAGAAAAAAGAACTTGACAGACAGGGCCACCTGTTTAGAGACCTGTTCTCAGAACAAACCAGCAGGATCTCTGAATTGGTAAACACTCTCACACGTCACCCACTTAGCTACTCCTATCCCAGCCCAGCAGGTGGGATTGGGCCTTATACAAGACCACAGACCTACATCCCTGCAGCTGCCTCAGTACCCTACCTCTCTCAAGGGCAGCACCTTACATTCCCTACACACCCACCACCTCAAGCTGACCACTTCATCATGAGGAGCCAGTCTATCAGCATCCTGTCGGCCAACATTAGAGGTTTCATTACTAATGTTGGAGAGCTCACACATAGCTTTGTGAACACTCGACGTCCCGGCATGATAGCTGTTGTTGAAACATTTTTGGATGACAGGACTCCAGAAAATTTTGCAAGAATTGCTGGCTACACCTCATGGATGAGAAGAGACAGGCAAGGGCAAGGAGGTGGTGTTGCTGTGTGCTTCTCTAAAAGTGTTCATGCCCAGCACATAGATGTTGCCACCCCTACACATCTTGAAATGATGTTCTTCAAGCTCTGTATAAACACTAGTACCTCTGTACTAGCATGTGCAATGTACAGACCTCAGTGGCAACACGCAGACCCTATCAACTTCCTAATGGAAAATATTGACTCCCTTCTGCTACAACACAACTGTCAACATATTATAACTGTTGGTGACCTCAACCAGCACCTTATACAGAGGGACTTTGATGACCTTCTTGCAGTGTTTGACATGAGAAACTTTGTTGATTTCCCTACTCATATCTCTGGCTCCTCCCTTGACCCAGTAGTGAGTGATCTGGCAGAAGGCATAGTCACTTGTCAACCCCTCAGCTATGATGGATCGTCTGACCACAAGGCTGTTTTTACCACACTTAAGATCCCAACAGAACGAGGTGAGGAGTCCACACACACAACCTGGCTATGGGAAAGAGGTAATTGGCCAGCCCTTTGCTATGAGCTCGCCACCACCGACTGGAATGCTCTTCTCCAAGGGGATGTTGACAACCAAGTGAAAGCCTTCACTGGACACATCCTTAATCTGCAACAAGAACACATTCCTCACCGGCAATATGTGACAAAGCCTACAGATCAGCCTTGGTTTGGCTTTCGTTGTAGAGAGGCTGCTACTGCTAAGTACAAAGCATGGCGAAGGTATAAGAGACATCCTACCACCTATAACAGGAACTTGCACATGCAAGCCTGTAGGCATATGGTTGATGTTCAAAAGTGGGCCATTGCTAAATGGGAGGTGGACACTAAAAGAAAGTTAGCATTAGGTAGGGTAGGCTCCAAAACCTGGTGGTCCCTGGTCAAGGACAGACAAGGTTATCTGCCTGATGAACTTATTCCACCTCTAAATCGACAGGATGGGACCACCTCTACTAGTAGTCAAGAGAAGGCGGACCTCTTTGCTGAACACTTTTCTACCAAAATGCAAGTTCCTGATCCAGCAAGGGACCCTCCTTGGCTAGCTGCAAGAACTGTGTCAAAACTGTCAATGGTGACAATAAGGCAGGAGGAGGTGCATTTCCTTCTTAAATCACTTGACCAAGAAAAGGCTGTGGGCCCAGACAAGTTGAGCCCAAGATTGTTGAGAAGATGTGCAGACCAGCTAGCAGCACCTCTAACTCGCATCTTTCAGCACTGCCTAGTACAGTGTAAATGGCCCTCTCCATGGAAAGAGGCAAATGTAGTCCCTGTTCACAAAAAGAAGAGCAGAGCAGAAATCAGCAACTACAGACCAGTGTCACTCCTGTCAATCACTGGTAAGATCCTTGAGTCAATAATCTCAAGACAAATGACAGTTTTTTTTGACTACCACTCACTACTTTGTGATCGTCAATATGACTTCAGGAAAGGTTACTCTGCTGCTGATCTGTTGTTAAACCTCTCCACTAAGTGGCACCAGTCACTGGATGAATCCAAAGTCAGCTGTGTGGTAGCACTGGACATTGCTGGCGCTTTCGACCGGGTGTGGCACCAGGGCCTCTTAGCAAAACTTCAAGCACTGGGAATTGCAGGCTCTACGCTATGTCTCCTCACTGATTACCTTCATGGTAGATCTCTAAGTGTAGTCCTCAATGGAACGGAATCAGCAAGGCATCCTATTGGGGCAAGCGTTCCACAAGGAAGCGTGCTGGGTCCACTGTTATGGAATGTCTACTTCAACGACCTTCTTCATCTCATCCCAGAATCACATGCATATGCAGACGACTGTACACTGACATTCACTTATCCAAGAGAAGAAATGCCAGCTGCTCTAAGCTACATCAATCACCAGCTGAGAGCTATATGAGCTTGGGGAAATAGATGGCAAGTAACATTTGCACCTGAGAAAATGCAAATGATGATCGTCTCTAGGCACCATGATGATAATGCTGCTGCAGTAGTAAGGATGAATGGGAGGGTGTTGGCACCTGGAGAAGAAGTTGATATCCTTGGGGTGAAATTTGACTCCCAACTAACCATGAAGAACCATGTTGCAAATCTTGTAAACAAGGCAGCCAGGAAGCTTACAGCACTTCGCCGTATCTCGCATCTGCTTGACAGTAGGGGTTGCAAGATCCTGTACGAGGCACAAGTACGCTCACACTTTGAGTATGCTCCACTTTCTTGGTTTGCCTGCCCCCCCCCCCCTCTCATCTGCGACTGCTTGACAGAGTAGAGAACAGAGCAAGACGTCTCATCTCTCGCCTGGACCCATCCTGGATAGATCTGTCATTTCAGCAGAGCCTTCAACATAGGAGGGATGTGGGTGGCCTTACTGTTATGTACAAGGCCAATATTGTCAAAGTACCACACTTGGATCCACTTCGAGGACAGCGTGAAACAAGCTTTTATGCCACAAGACGGGCAGAAAGCAACAACTTCACTCTGGGTGTACACTTCTCCAGAACATCACTCCATCTGAGATCATATATACCCAGGATGACTCGAGTATGGAACACATTCGTACAGCATAATGATGTCAACGAGATAAAGTCAGTTGATCAAATGAAAATGCTGGCCCACAGATGGCTCCAACTTCATCCTGTTCCCTACTTGTATGTCTCATAACAATAAAAATGCTTTCAAATGAGCTGATGTAGGTAACAGCTCTTAGCTTGCCAATAAAGTTAGGAATCCTTAACCTGTAAATAGCTTGTCAATAAAGCTAGGGATCCTTAACCTTGTCAAACCCTGTGTAAAAAAAAAAAAAAAAAAAAAAAAAAAAAAAAAAAAAAAAAAAAGGAGAGAGGGAGAAAGAGAGGGAGAGAGATGTCGTGGGCAAATGTGGGAGGGTAGGTGGTGGGTGGGTGGGCAAATGTGAGAGAGTAGAGAGAAGGGTGAATGTGGGAGAATAAGTGGGTGGGCAAATGTGGGAGAATAGGTGGGTGGGCAAATGTGGGAGAATAGGTGGGTGGGCAAATGTGGGAGAATAGGTGGGTGGGCAAATGTGGGAGAATAGGTGGGTGGGCAAATGTGGGAGAATAGGTGGGTGGGTGAATGTGGGTGGGTAAGTGGAGGTGTGAATGTGGGAGGGTAGGTGGTGTGAATGTGGGAGGGTGGCTGGGGGTGAATGTGGAAGGGTGAATGCATTTACTTCCTCCATACTCCCTCCCTACAATCTGATATCCAATCTTTCATAATCTAGTTTTTTTTTTTTGTTACTGTCACCACTTTTTTCCAGAATTTCCCAAAAGAATCATGCATTTTCATAAAGCAATCAATGTTACAAGCATACAATATAAAATAACAAAATACTGTTCAACAGCACTAGACACTAACCTTCTCCGACCATATCACCTCCATCATCCCATAAGCTTACTTCTGATGTTTCTGGTTTATTCATTGTCATTAAGCAAGCAGAATTTTCAGGAAAATTTCTCTCTTTCATTTTCATCTTGAATGCTTGTTGTTTTTCTCTCTGTCTTCTTTTTCTTTCATTTTTATTTTCATCATATTTGCTTTTGGGGAATTTAGATATTGGTGACTGCACAATCATTTCTTTAGTGAAGCCAATAAATGAGTTTGGTGAGTTTACCCTTTCTTCTGTTGTTTCTGCAAATTCCACTTTTTTGTGAGGTTTATTCATACAGTGTGACATCTGGAGGTCCTTGGGTTTCACCGGTGCCTCCCCAGGTGCATTAGCTGCTACAGGCATCGAAGTTTCTTTCACATGTGGTTTTAACTCATCAAAGTTTGGTTCACCAAGGGATGAAATATTCTCTGTAAAAGAGTTATTCATATCTGTAACTGAGGCAGATAATGATTTATTTACAGCACTTGTCTTATTTTTGAACACTGTGACTGAGCTTTCAGTATGCTTAGTAGATAAACATAATGTCTGGTCTACACAAAAATTTGAATTGTCTATTGAGGGTATGTTTTTTTTGGTAAATGGAAAGCTTTTGTTTAATACTGAAGGGGACTCACTGTTGTGCTCCAAAGGTAAACTCTGGTTGTGTACTGTATTACTAGTAGATACTTCTGCATTTATTGAATTCTCAGTTCTTTCTATTTTTAAAAAATGAGTTACATTCTTAGTATCTTTGTTTTCTAATGTTTTCTTAGAATTCTTAATAGATGTTGCTGCACTATTACTATTAGATTTATTGCATGCCATTCTTGTGTGGGAGATGCCACTAGTGATTCTTCTAGGGTCTGGCTCTTCCAAACCAGAAATTTGTTCCCTTGATGCTTCTGAACAAGTATCTTGACATTTCTGGAAGAAAAATGCAGCATTTCATCAGTTCACCAGTTATAAAATATATAATATAATATGTATATGACTTAGAAAGCTATCATGGACTTTCAACATTTCACTTAATTGTAATCAATGTAATGTATGTGTACATGAGTGTGACACGAAAACCTGTAATTGTTTTACACAATGGTAGGATTGCTGGTGTCTTTTCTTTGTCTCATAAACACACGAGATAACAGGTACATCTTGCTACTTCTATATACACTTAGGCCACACTACACATGCATGTACACTAGACACTAATAGTTCTTATTTATTTCCTTTTATCTCCATGGAGAAGTGGAAAAGAATCCTTCCTCTAAGTCATGCATAAGAGGTGCCTAAAATGCCAGGAGCAAGGGGCTAGTAACCCCTTCTCCTATATAAATTACTAAGCGTAAAAAGAAAAATTTTTTGCTTTTCTTTCTGGGTCACCCTCTCTAGGTACACCCTGCCTCAGTGGAAGATGGTCAGTGTTAAAAAAAAAAAAATAAAAAGTTAACTGAACTAAAGTAACTAAGCACTAAGTTACCATGTAGGTCAGTCAACACTCATAGCAATAAGAAAATATATACAATATATACATACAATAAAAATAAGATCAAATTAACAAAAAAATAAAAGCAGCAAATATAAATGATCAACACATAGGCAGGTAGGTAGTTTCAAGATCTGAAGAGTACTTTGACTAGATAGGTCACTCACAACCCAATAAAAATAAAAATAAATAAAAAATAAATAAAACACATGTAAGGACATTAAACTTAACCCTTAAACGGTCCAAACATATACACATGTATATACGTTCACGAGCGTAGCGCCCCAAACGTATATATACGTTTTCTTTGTCATTCATTCAACACTGCCACAATAAGCCTGAGTCACCTAGACATGAGAGAATGGGTGTGTGCACTCACTGTGTTCCATATTAAAATAATTGGGGATGCCTGGGTACCATATGCTCTTTTTTCCTTTTAAAAGAAAAGATTTTTTTTTCCTCAAAAAATTTGGGGCGCTACGCGAGTGAACGTATATATACGTTTGGACCGTTTAAGGGTTAAAATTAACAAAGAACTATTAGCATGAATATAACAAATACTATCATGCCAAATTTAAATAAGCAACAGTTAATAATCCCAATAAATGGTGAATGTCAGAAGAATCTCCTAAAAGTTACCTGAGCTCACTACAGGCATAGTTTATGTAATTACCCCAGTGATTAAAAAGACCTAAGGTGTGGGCAAACAGTTAAAAATGTGCTCAACAGTCAGCTGCATACCACAATCTACACAGGGAATGGGGTGCAGAAGCACCTGACAACAGAGTGAGATGTGTGCCTGATCCTCAACTGACAGAACTGCATCAAAGTGACAATTTCTTCTTGTCTGTAGGACCCACCAAAACAGCCACTTTCACAGGACATTTCTATTTATGTGACCCATGATGTTACTGAGGCAGAGATCTACTGTAGAGCAAGATCATTATAGCAGCCTTCACCTCAGCATCTAATTATTTTTTTTCTCATTGTCCAAACGAGGCAGGGTGGCCCAAAAAGAAAGAAAATCCCGAAAAAGAAAATACTTGCATCATCATTCAACACTTTCACCTCACTCACACATAATCACTGTTTTTGCACAGGTGCCCAGAATACAACAGTTTAGAAGTATATACGTATAAAAATACACAATATATCCCGACAAACTGCCAATATCCCAAACCCCTCCTTTAGAGTGCAAATGCATTGTAGTTCCCATTTCCAGGACTCAAGTCCGGTTATATAAAATAACCAGTTTCCCTGAATCCCTTCACTAAATATTACCCTGCTCACACTCCAACAGCTTGCTAGGTCCCAAATACCATTCGTCTCCATTCATTCCTATCTAACACGCTCATGCACACTTGCTGGAAGTCCAAACCCCTCGCCCACAACACATCCTTTACCCCCTCCCTCCAACCTTTTCGAGGATGACCCCTACCCCGCCTTCCTTCCCCTACAGATTTACACGCTCTCCATGTCATTCTACTTTGATCCATTCTCTCTACATGACCAAACCACCACAACAACCCCTCTTCAGCCCTCTGACTAATACATTTATTAACTCCACACCTTCTCCTAATTTCCACACTCCGAATTTTCTGCATAATATTTACACCACACATTGCCCTTAGACAGGACATCTCCACTGCCTACAACTGCCTCCTCGCTGCAGCATTTACAACCCAAGCTTCACACCCATGTAAGTGTTGGTACTACTATACTTTCATACATTCCCTTCTTTGCCTCCATAGATAACATTTTTGCCTCCACATATACCTCAATGCACCACTCACCTTTTTTCCTTCATCAATTCTATGATTAACCTCATCCTTCATAAATCCATCCACTGACATGTCAACTCCCAAATACATCTGAAAACATTCACTTCTTCCATACTCCTCCTCCCCAATTTGATATCCAATTTTTCTTTATCTAAATCATTTCATACCCTCATCAGCTTACTCTTTTCTATGTTCACTTTCAACTTTCTACCTTTACACACTCCCAAATTCGTCAACTAACATTTGCAATTTTTCTTTAGAATCTCCTATAAGCACAGTATTATCAGCAAAAAGTAACTGTCACTTCCCATTTTGTATTTAATTCCCCATAATTTAATCCCACCCCTCTCCCGAACACCCTAGCATTTACTTCTTTTACAACCCCATCTATAAATATATTAAACAACCCTGGTGACGTTACACATCCCTGTCTAAGACCTACTTTTACCAGGAAGTAGTTTCCCTCTCTTCTACACACCCTAACCCGAGCCTCACTATCCTCATAAAAACTCTTTACAGCATTTAGTAACTTACCACCTATTCAATATACTTGCAACATCTGCCACATTGCTGCCCTATCCACTATCATATGCCTTTTCTAAATCCATAAATGCAATAAAAACTTCCCTGCCTTTATCTAAATAATGTTCACATATATGCTTCAATGTAGACACTTGATCTACACATCCGCTACCCACTCTAAAACCTCCTTGCTCATCCGCAATTCTACATTCTGTCTTACCTTTAATTCTTTCAATAATAACCCTACCGTACACTTTTCCTGGTATACTCAGTAACCTTATTCCTCTATAATTTTTACAGTCTCTTTTGTCCCCCTTCCCTTTATATAAAGGGACTATACACACTCTCCGCCAATCCCTAGATACCTTCCCCTCTTTCATACATTTATTAACCAAAAATACCAACCACTCCAACACTATGTCCCCTCCTGCTTTTAACATTTCTGTCATGATCCCATCAGTTCCAGCTGCTTTACCCCCTTTCATTCTACATAATGCCTCATGCACCTTCCCCACACTCACATCCTGCTCTTCTTCACTCCTAAAAGATGGTATACCTCCCTGGCCAGTGCATGAAATTACCGCCTTGTTTAACTCACTCCAAAATTTTTTCTTATTTCAATTAAAATTTCTTGACAGTGCCTCTCTCACTCTATCATCCGCTCTTCTTTTGCACTCTCTCACCACTCTCTTCACCTTTCTTTTACTCTCCATATACTCTACTCTTCTTATAACACTTCAGCTTTGTAAATACCTCTCATAAGCTACTTTTCTCTCTTTTATTACACCCTTTACTTAATCATTCCACCAATCATTCCTCTTTCCTCCTGCACCCACCCTCCTATAACCACAAACTTCTGCCCCACATTCTAATACAATGGACCCCCGCATACCGTTGGCATCACATAACGTTAAATCCGCATACCGATACATTTTATCACTAAGATTTTGCCTCGCATACCGCTAAAAAACCCGCTCAACGCTATTCGTCCCAGACGCGTCTAATGTGCGGCCTGAGCCAGCCTCATATGTTCCGCCAGTGGCATTGTTTACCAGCCAGCCTCTGCATACAATCGGAACATTTCATATTATTACAGTGTTTTTGGTGATTTTATCTGCAAAATAAGTGACCATGGGCCCCAAGAAAGCTTCTAGTGCCAACCCTACAGGAATAAGGGTGAGAATTACTATAGAGATGAAGAAAGAGATCATTGCTAAGTATGAAAGTGGAGTGCGTGTCTCCGAGCTGGCCAGGTTGTATAGTAAACCCCAATCAACCATCGCTACTATTGTGTCCAACAAAACGGCAATCAAGGAAGCTGTTCTTGCCAAAGGTTCAACTGTGTTTTCGAAACAGAGATCGCAAGTGATGGAAGATGTTGAGAGACTCTTATTGGTGTGGATAAATGAAAAACAGATAGCAGGAGATAGCATCTCTCAAGTGATCATAAGTGAAAAGGCTAGGAAGTTGCATGAGGATTTAATTAAAAAAATGCCTGCAAGTAGTGATGATGTGAGTGAATTTAAGGCCAGCAAAGGTTGGTTTGAGAGATTTAAGAAGTGTAGTGGCATACATAGTGTGATAAGGCATGGTGAGGCTGCCAGTTCGGACCACAAAGCAGCTGAAAAATACATGCAGGAATTCAAGGAGTACATAGACAGTGAAGGACTGAAACCTGAACAAGTGTTTAATTGTGATGAAACAGGCCTGTTTTGGAAGAAAATGCCAAGCAGGACCTACATTACTCTGGAGGAAAAGGCACTCCCAGGACATAAGCCTATGAAAGACAGGCTTACTCTGTTGATGTGTTCCAATGCTAGTGATGATTGCAAAGTGAAGCCATTATTAGCATATCACTCAGAAACTCCCAGAGCGTTCAGGCAAAAGAATATCCTCAAGGCTAATTTGTGTGTGCTGTGGAGGGCAAACAGTAAGGCATGGGTCACTAGGGACTTTCTATGTCTGGTTACACCAAGCATTTGCCCCCAATGTGAAAGATTACCTAACTGAAAAGAAATTAGACCTTAAGTGCCTCCTGGTGTTAGACAATGCCCCTGGTCATCCTACAGACGTGGCAGAGCGACTTTATGGGGACATGAGCTTCATTAAGGTGAAGTTTTTGCCTCCTAATACCACTC